AATCTAAAGATGGAAAAGTAAATAAAATTATAATTTAAATAATATCAGATATAGATTGGAAAAATTGGTAAATAAATATATAAAGTATACTAACATATTGTTACTATTTTAGCCTATAGTAATAAAAGAAGGAAGTGTTATTAAACAAGGTGGAAGAATAAAAAATTGGAAAAAGAGATGGTGCGTTTTAAATGAAGAAGGTTTACATTATTTTAAATCACAACATGTAATATTATAATATTTAATAGTCATATGATGACAATATCCAACTATAGATTTAATATTCTAATAATATCATAATTATTATTTTTAATTTTAGAGTACAGAAAAAGGGTCAATTTTATTAAATGAAATATTAGGTGTACAGAGTGATGATAAACCAACAACTAAAAGAAAATATTGTTTTAAAGTTACAACTATAGATAGAAAATATAGAATATGTGCAACTGATTCATTGGATAGAGACGAGTGGATATCATCAATAGAGAAATTATTAAAATCTAAAGGTTTTCCCGCAATTTCTATTGATGGAAATGGTACTGGTACAATAATTTCAAAAAATAATAATAATAATGTAATTATTCATTTTTTTAGATAATTTTATGTGCGGGGAAGATTTTGGAACAAAGTTCATAGGAATCATTTCATAGTTATATTAATATTATTTAGCACAAATTAAAATAATCAAACTCTTTATAGTCAAAAACATTACAGTAGATCACATTATCTAATTTCTTTTCTTTTCTTTTTTTTTTTATTTAGAAATCAAATGTAGATATAAATAAATTAAGAATTGAAGAAGAGGACGATTCGGAATCATCAACACCATCAAATAGTTTTTTAAATAACTCATCATCGAAAACAATAGCTTTAACTCCAATTATGATATCATTAAAAGATAAATTTCCACAACAATCCTTTGCATCAGAATTAAATAGAAAAGTAAATTAATTAATTAATTAATTATTATAGAAAAATATTTAGAATTAATACTAATATTATTTTATTTATTTGGAAATATTTTAGAAAGATTTATTATCATTAGAGGAAACAGAAAGAATATTATCATTATTAGACTCTTTTATTGAAAACGAATCAGATGAAGCAAATAAACAAAGAGATAAAGAGATTAAAATGATTGTTAAACAAATTACACATTTAAAACAAATAGAACTTAATAAAATAGAGGAAAAATATAATCTAAAACGACAAGAAATTTTAAATGAACTTAAAAGAAGGTCTTAAGATAAATCAAATAAATAATTAAATAAATAAATAAAATAATAATAATAATAAATTCATCAATCAATCACCAATCACATACACATACATACACACAAACACACACAAACACAACAAATCTTATTTAACCCCCCACTACAAAATCACCTCAATGATTATTTTATATTATAATACTATAATTAGTTATTGTTGAATTAAAAATAGAAAAAAATAAATAAAATTGTAATATTTAAAAAATTATAATAAAAAAAAAAAAAAAATTTAAATAAAATTTTTTTTTTCAAATAATCTTTATTTGGTTTTTTTATACACATCATATTATGTACTTTTAACTTTTCTTTTAATGGTACCAATAAATAATAAATAATAATAAATTATTTTATTAATTTTTTAGAAATTACATTTTAAAAAGTGAATATATTATAATAATTTAAAAATAATTTATTTCATTACCATTGTGTTATGTTAAATTATTATAATAAAAAACACCAAAAAACTACATATTTTAATTATCATATTATTTTTAACAATAAATAAAAAAACACAAGATGTAATTTTTTTTTTTCAAATTGTTAAATTTTAATTTTTATAAATAATTAATTTGTATTTTATATTTTATATTTTATATTTTATATATATCAAAAAAATAAATAAAAAAAATATAATATAAGAATAAAAAACAGTTTTGTTTTTTTTTAAAAATATTTTTTTTATTTAAAATTATTTTTTTTTATTTTTTTTATTTTTTATTATTTTTTTTTTTTTTTTTTAATAAAAATCTATTTTTTTTTTTTTTATAATAATTATTTTGTATTTTTAAAAAATTATTATTATAATATTTTTTATTTTTTTTTATCTCATCTTTGATAACATGTTATTTTCGTTATTTCAATAAATATGAATAACATTAGTAATAAAATAAAAGATAGAGACAGTAATAGTAGCAGTAATATAAAATCACCTCTTCATCAAAGATCGTCATCATCAACAGCATCAACAGGCAGCGGAATAGGCAATACTAGCAATAATAATAGTAATAGTAATAATAAATTAAATATAAGAGCAAATAGTAATAACAGCTCATCACCCCCAGGAGGTGTATCACCACCAATGAGTTCAATCAACGTTCAATTTAATGGAGGTACTCCTACAATTGCACAGTTACAAAGTTTAGTTAAAGGCCCCAAGAAACCAATAAATACTTCATTCGACGATTTAAGAAATCAATTATCAGGTACAAATATAGATTTATCAGGCTATGGAGATGATGATGAAGTAATTATTAATCATGATTACCATTCATCCGAAGAAGAAGAATATGAATATGATGATGAAGAATATGAAGACCAACAAAATAACAACAGTGTAAATAATAATAGTGTAGAATATAATAATAACAACCAATCAATTAGCAGTACCCATTCATGTGAAAGTATACCCGAAGAAGAGGAATTAACAGCCTCACCAATTCATTCAAGAAAATATAGCCATACTATAGGATCACAACCCGATAATCTAAATGTTGGTGGTTTTTCACCACGTTCAAATAGATCTGAAAGTACAGTTTATCATGGCGAACCAGAAAATGAAAAAGTTTCAAATGCAAAAGATAAAATCTCTTCAGAATATAAAAAAATGATGGAAGATTTAGATGGTTTTAGAAATGAAAAATTAAAACAACGTAAATCAAAGTATTTTTCAAAAAAAGGTAAATAAATCATTACAACATTCACATTATCTATTTTTTATTTACTCATTAATCATTCATATTACTTTTAGAATTAGAAGAAATACCATTCAATCCATCATCAGGAACAAAATTAAGATCAACCTTATACAAACAATTTATGAATGAAAAAATAATAGCAATGAACGATGGGGATAAATACAGGATTGAATTATTAAAAAGTTATAGAGAGAATTTAAAGCCAGCGGACATATCACCACCATCATCAATTAAACACACATCACCAAATTCTTTAACATCACTACAAGCAGGTAATGGAGGTATTATATTACAAAAGGATAAATTAATTAAATTAAATAGAACTCGTTCAGTCAGTCAGCCACCTGTTGTAACAAGTAATAGCAAGAGTGCCATTGGTACTTTAGAACAAATTTTAGATAAAGAAAAAAAGAGAGATGGCATAGAAAGAGCTTTACCTGTTTTATTAATAAAATGTATTGATTTCCTTTCAAAAGAAGAAGCTTTAAAAACAGAAGGTCTCTTTAGGGTTGCTGGTAATTCAAGCGATGTGGAGGATCTTACCAAATCAATTCTCTCATATGGTTCCGATATACCCGAAAATTGTTGTGTTCATGTAGTTTCAAATATGTTAAAAAAATTTTTACGTCAATTAACAACTCCAGTATTTACTTTTAAACACTATAATGATTTTATTCAAGCATTAAGTAAGCATTTCATATAAATCTTTTTTTTTTTTTTCTTTATTAATTACTCATAATTTTATTATTTATTTTAGAATCAAATTCAAATGACCAAGAAAGAATAGAAAGTATTAAAAAGATATTAAAATTATTACCAATTAATAACCAAATTTTAATAAAGGAATTAATGGGATTTTTGGTAAAGGTAACAGAATATAGTAATGTAAATATGATGCATTCATACAACCTTGGGGTTATGTTGGGACCAAATGTATTAAAACCACCTAATGATGTTGATATGGATGCCATCTCAAATTTAGACTCTGCCAATCAAGTTATAACCTTAATTATAGAAAATTATAGTCAAATATATGATATAAAATAATAAATAATAAAAACAATAAATAATAATTAAAAATAGTATCAATTAAAAAAATAATTGGGTATTAAAATAATAATAGTAATAATAATAATAGTAATAATAGTAATAGTAATAAAAATAAATAAACAACAATAAAAACTAAAAAAAATAAAATAAAAAATATTTTTTTGGTTTTTTTTAAATATTAAAATTTGGTTTATTGTTTTACACTTATTTATTGGATGAAGAGGATGATGTCATAAAATGACCAAATATTTTATATAGTATAAAAACTATAACGCCATATGTTAAGGTTTTAACAAAGGTTATTATATTTTTTACCCATCTTATGTATTTAGTTGGTAGATACTTATTCACTTTTGAAAAAAGATTATATCTTTCATTAAAAAAACAAATTGTTGCTGTTGGTATAAATCCTAATCCTGGTACCTAAAGTTAAATTTGTTTAGTATTAGTATTGATTTTTTTTTTAATAATAGGGTAAAACTATATGGTATATTTACTGTTTCTTCAATAAAAGATAATGAGAGATGAAGACCAGGTCCATATACTTTATATATTAAATAGGTTGAAAGTGAGGGCCAGATTGTTATACCAAAAATAGGAATGATTTGTGTTACAAATCCTATAATGTCCAATATTATACTAAATATTAATTTAGATTTTGGTGGGCTTGTGGATGAGGGTAGAATGGGGAATATCTTTTTTAAAAAATACCTTTCTTCATTATTAATAGTTGGTAAATTATTATTTGTATTTTCTAAAATCTCTTCATCCGAAGAATTATCACTGTCGCTATTGCCATTCTTTGAATTCTTTCTTCTATTTTTCATTTTATCTATAATTTATTAATAACATTAATAAAATGAATTTAAATTAAAAATAATTTTTAAAAAAAAATAAAAATAAAAATGAAAATAAAAATAAAATAAAATTAAAAATAATAAAAAAAAAGTAAAAATAAAAACAAAATCCAAAAAAAGAAATGAATATAGGGTGTTAAGTTATCATATTTATTTATATCTTTTTGTGTGTGTGTGTGTGTTAAAATAAAAAATATAAAAAATCCATTTGAACATTGACAAGTGTTGCTATTATAATTTTTTAATATAAAAATATTTTCATTTACCATATTAATTATTTTAAAAAAAATATTCATTTCCACACATTATTAACACACTTTTAAAAAAATTTTATTTCATTGTTTTATATATAAATATAAAAAAAACCAACAAATAAAATTGTTTAAATAGTGATTGTAATATGATCATAAAAAAATTATTTTTTTATTTTTTTTAAATTTAAAAAAATTTATTTAATTTTTTTTTTTTTTTTTTTTTTAATTTTTTTCGAAATTTTTTTTTTTCATAGTTTTTAACTTTCATAAATTATAATACATTATAATCAATAAAATGGAAAATACATCAGTTGAATATTTAGTCTCAAGAGAACCATTATGGAAGGTTTGTGAACCAGTCTATGAAGCTTTTGAAAAATGCAAAATGGAAAATGGTGATGATCCAGAAAAATGTTTAAATCGTTCAACTGCTGTTGTTGGTTGTGCAACTAAAGTGTATGCATCAATTTAATCATACTATGGTTTGGTTTATTTAAAATATAATTCAAAGTGATATCAAATAATAGGAATACAGGCTCATAAAACATTAAACAAACCAAAACAAAAAATTAACAATAACAATTGTAGTTGAAATTACAATTATAATTAACAATAATAATAAAGCTACCACTGCAATCATACACCCAGTAATCACTAATTAATTTAATAATAATAATAATAATAATAATAATAATAATAATAATAATAATAATAATAATAATAATAATAATACCAGTATCTAAAGTGTGTTATGCATACTATTCAATACATTTTATAAATTACTCTAAAGCATTATAATCTATATCACTTTGTTTAAATATTTTTAAATATAGACCAAACTAGATTACAAAATCAATCATAATATTAAATACTAATTTTTTTTATTAATTTTAGTATGAGAGAAATCTCCAGCAAATGTAAAAGCGAATTAGATGCTGCAGTTAAAAATTGTGAAAATAATAATAACAGAACCATAGGAAATGAAAAAGAAGAAGCCGCTTTAACTTCATGTTTTGATTCAAAAGTTTTCCCAAAATTCTGTTAAATAAAATAATAATAATATAAATATAAATATAATAATAATGGCATAATAAAAAAAAAAATTATTAAAAAAAAAAGAAATAAAAAGAAAATACAATTAAAATTGTAGAAAATAAATAATACACCTCAAACACATTTGTTTGAAAATTTGGATATTTTTTAGAGAAAGTTTTTTAGAAAACAAATATTATAGTACAAATAAATAATAGGAGAATATTTAGATTATAGTTTTTATATTATTACAAAATAGATAAAAATTTTATTTAAAATTAAATTTTTTTTTCATTTTTGATTTTCCATTTTTTTTTCTATTTATTATATTTGTTATTTATGTTTTAATATAATGTATTTTTATTGATAATACTAAAAATATTTAAATTTCTACTATTAAATTATATTATTATTATTACTACTATTAAGACTATATTTTACAGAATATGTAAATCTATATATTACAATTTTATGTTGTTGGGTAAATATTTTTTTGTTTTTTTTTTTTAATTAAAAAAAAAAAAAATTTAATTATGATTATGGTTGTTTAGTTATTATTGTTATTATAAATTATTATCTATATATTAAATTTAATAAATTATTTATAAAGTTTGACTAAAATTAAAAAATAAAGTTATTAAGGTTTTTGATTAAAATTTTCATTTTCTTCTTGGAAAATTTTAATTTGATTTAAATGTTCAGTTAAGTGTTTGGTTTGAAGTGGTGATAGTTGATCGATTTGTTTAAGTGATGAGTTTGTGGAGGATGTGATTGAGAATAGTGACGGTGATAATGATTCGGATGTTGTTGTTGTTGTTGTTGTTGTTATTTTATATGGTTGCGAATTATGATTTGATGATTCGGATGATGATGCTGCTTCTCTTTTTAATTTTTTTGAATATTGTAAAACTAATTTTTGTTGTTGTATTGTTAATTGTTGTATTTGTCTTTTTCTAAATTTTTTAATAAACTCTATCATGCCAACCTGTGTAGTTGGACTATTGCTATAGCTATTATTTAAACTATAATTATTTGAATTATTATTATTATTATTATTATTATTATTATTATTATTATTATTATTATTATTATTATTATTATTATAATTTGTATTATTATTACTGTTACTTATTTTAATAGGTTTACTAAAGTTATAATTTTTTATATCTTTGTCATCATCCAATGATAGAGTTTTTGCTAATTGTTATAGTTGATTACCAATATCTGATGGATCAACTGATAGAATTGAAGATTTTCTATATGTAAAGAAAGGAATTTTAAGGTTACTCAAAATCGGATTTCTTTGTTTCATTTACATCATCATCCATATCCCATTTAGAAGTTTACAGCATCTTCAAAGTAAGAGGTATCTATATCATTTTCGACTTTAGGTACAAATGGTGGTCTAACGTTCTCTTTAATGATTGGTTCCCAAATGTTGATATGGTTAGCAAAGAATGGATGCTTTTTGAAATCATTAATACCACCCTTTGTTCCAAGACGAATATTTGAATCTGTAAGCATATTTTTTAAAAGATCTGCAGCTTCTGGTGAAAGTTCTTGGGTGAAAAGATCCCAATCTAAAATATCCCTCCAATTGACAATGTTTATAAATACATCGGAAGGAGTATCAGCGCAAAATGGATTGAAACCACATAGCATTTCTACAAATACACAGCCTAAAGACCACCAATCACAAGATGCACTGTATCCCATATCATTGACAACTTCTGGTGCCATATATTCTGGTGAACCCACTGCAGAGTGAGCTGTTGGACGACGATAAGCCACAACACCATTGGATTTCTTTAAGAGGTCACGATGCTGGTCAACGAAATCGGTTCCTATACAACTATTTCTATATTCTCTAAACTCGTGGCTCATTGTATTTCTCTTTTCCATTTGATCCTTTGAGAGGCCGAAATCAATAAGTTTTATATGACCTTTCTTGTCAATAACAAAATTGGAAGGTTTAATATCTCTGTGTATAATGTCTAAATTGTGTAATGATTGAATGGCTTCTATCATCTCTATCATATAGAAACGTGCTTCTTCTTCGGTTAGAGTACCTAAATTATTTAATAATGCTCTAAAATCTCCACCACAGTGATATTCCATTGCCAAATAACAATAATTTGCATCTTGAAAAGAATAGAGTAACTTTGTGATCCATTTGCATTCACTTAACATTACCTTTTTCTCTTGTGTAAGTTTTTCCCATTCAAAATGTTGCTTCTTTAAACGTTTTAAAGTTACGACGTCACCAGAATCTAATTTAGTAGCTAAAAATACTTGTCCGAATCCACCTTTACCGATTTGTGTAAGAATTTTAAACTCTTTTAATTTCATACCTGCTCTTTTATTTCTTAATAATTTTGATTCACGTTCATACTGTTTCTTCATCCATTGAGCTGTAGCTTGTTCATCCATTTTGGAGCTAACAGTGAGTTCTCTAACTTGCTCTACTCTTCTGTTTCTTTCTAATAGATATTTAAATAGCTCTTGATAATAATGTTTAAAGTAGTTATCTACAATCTTACATTTCTCTTGTAACACTATATCTGGGTTTGTTGAACTTTCAAATTCTTGATCTAAAAATTTACAATAGTTTTCTTTTGGTATGTTTACAGAGTTATTATTTGATTGGGCTGGACTTGACACATTAGAAGTTAATGGTGATGAGCTTGTTGGTGTATTATTAGTTATGGTGGAATTGATCCTTCTTAGACCATTTGGTGAATCTGGTGGTGAAATTTCTTTAGCTACATGGGGTGTTATTGGTGTTGTACCTGTACTTCCTGGTCTTGATGATGATGAAGTAGTATTATTACCTTGGTCATCCTTTGTAATAAATGAACCGTTTATAAAACTATTGTCTTTATTATTACCACCAGATATAGATAATGATGATAGTGTTGGATCTGATATTAATTCAGTATTATTCATTAAAATATTATTTGTTGTGCAACTAAAACTCGAGGGAGATCTTGGTGGTATAGCAGGAGGTGTATGATTACGTTTTGATGAAGAAGGAGATAAAGGTGGACCCATGGCAGTAAATTTATTTAATGATGACGAATTTGGAGATGAATCCTTACTATTATTACCATTACCTTCTAAACTAAAACCATCTGAAATTGAGGGTATTGCAGATGAGGGTGATGAGGGTGACGATGGAGATGATGGTGATGAATCATCCATACCTAAATGATGAAGTAAATGATTTTTATTTGGTGATGATTTTTGAGATGATGATTGTTGCTGATGTATTGGCTGTGGAATTTTTTGTTGTTGAGAAATTGAAGTTGGTGTTGAAACTGATGATGATGATACAGATGTTGAGCATTGTGTTTGTTGTTGTTGATGATGATTATTTTGTTGTTGTTGTTGTTGAAATTGTAATTGTTGGTATTGAGATTTCTTTTTTAATTCATCAATATCTAAATCTTCGAAAACTACAAATTTTTTACAACGTTGTTGAGTTAATACATAATCATGATCTATAATTTTACCATCTGAATTAGCCAATCTTAAATCTTTTACATTTCTACATGTTTTTGCTGAAATATATTTTAAAATATCTAAACATGTTGTCGTTGATAGTAATGGTATCGTCCAATATGTTGTCCATTGTACACTTAATAAACCTGATAAACTTTCTATTGGTAATAAATTATTTGTCTCTGAGCCTACAAAATCAACTTGTTGTGCTAATAAATAAAACTTTGCTAAAGATCTCTATTTAAATTTTTATATAAAAAAAATTATTAGTATATTGTTTTAATAAACTATATTGTCTTTTTTTTTTTTAATTTGAAATTCATACATGAGGATCACTTGCTGAAGCAGACATTAAAGATGATTGTGATGAAGATCTACTTGATAGAGGTGAATTATTACCGCTCATGGTTATTGGTGATACAGTTGAGGATATAAATGATGTTGGTGTTGTTGGTGTTGAATAACTTGATGTTTGCGAGTTTGATAACTCTGTATTATTGTTTGAACTATTGGTATTATTGTTATTATTATTGCTATGACTTAAATCTGTTAATACATTGAATAAATCTTCAATACCTTGTCTAACAAATAAAGATTTCTTTTTGAAACTGTGTATGGGTGATGAATGTTTTGACCTATTGCTACTGCTACTCCCACTACTTGAAATATCCGTATTACTATTACTTCTTTTTAAACTCTCTCTATTATTCATTAATTGTTGTATATATAAATGTAACCTTGTTTAATATATATATATTTTTAAAAATATATAATATTATTTTAATAGCTATATTTCTTTATATTATTTCTTTACTATATCTTTTAATAATTAAATAAAGTTGTTTATTGTTAATATCTCTTTTTTATTTTTTTTATTTTAAAATAAAAAAATAAAATAAATAAAAAAAAAAACAAAATTAAAATTTTACTTACTATTCAAAATAAAAAAGAAAACACTATTAAATAAAATTTTAATTTTATAAAAAAAAAATTTCTTATGGTTTGATTGATTACTGCTAGTGTGTGCGTATCTATGTATTTTAAATTGTGTGTATTGTGTGATAAAATTGTGGTGTGTTTTAATTTTGAAAAAAATCTTGGGGTGGGGGTTTATATATGTTGGTTGTATTGATGTTGTTGTTGGATTAAGAAGAGGATAGTTTATTTTTATTTTGTGTATAAGTTTTTGTTTATTTTTTTATTGTTTTATAAAATATAATTGTTAAATTATAAATTTTTGTATAATAGACAATATTGGATCTCTTTCTTTTTTTTTCTTTTTTGTTATCTTGAGTTGTTGTTGTTGATTAATGGGGGTTATTATTTAAATATTTATGAAAAGGGTGAGAGTAAGTGGGTGTGATTTTTTATTTTTTTTTATTATTGATTTGTATCTATATATGTATGTGTGTAAACACAAAAATAAAATAAAAAAAAAAAACAATATGTATAGTATTTATTTTATTTTATTTTATTATTTTAAAAAAAAGTTTAATTAATTAATTAAATAAT